CAGCTTCTGAGTTTTCCTCTTGGATAGCAGTAATTGAGATGTGCTTTGAGACTTTTTTTTATGACTCGAAATGCTTTGGAACTGAATCTGAGGTACAGCCTTAGCCAGTTCCCCTTTTGCAGCATTTTGCAAGACAGGCAGCTGTAAGGTGAGGGCAGGGTGTTCTGGCCTGGGAACAGAGCCAAATTGCAAAGTCTGGCATTCTTTCTTTGAAAGGCAACAAACAGTGCAATCGTATTGCAGCCTTCCTTTGTCCCAAAGCCTTCTCCTACAACACAATTCCTATGAATATTCTATTTTGTCTAAGAAACTTCCTTTTCAAGTACTAATGTGCCATGCCAATTTCCATCCTACCTACTGTCAAGCGGATCCTGTTTTGTTTTGTTTGTTTTTGAAGATTGGTGGTTCCCACAAGATAATTCTCCTCCTAGCTGAGATCCACTGTAACACAGAGAAGGACAGGCACTGTGGTAGTCACTTTGATGACTAAGGAATGCCTGACTCTAGCCATGGTCTTTTCAATCCCTCATATGCATATGAAAGCCGGACAATGGAAAGGAAGCCTGAAGAAGAATGGACACATTCAAATTGTTCACCCCAAAGACAAATCAATATTGGATCAAGTTCAGCCAGAATTGCTCCTTAGAAGTGAGGAAGGCAAGACTACAGACAGCTTCCTTTGGGCTTGTTATCAGGAGGAACCAGTCTCTGGAGAAGAACATCATGTTTGGTAAAGTAGACAGCAAAAAAAAAAAGAGAGACCCTCACTGAGGCGGATTGACACAGTGGCTGCAGTGATTGTGAGGGTGATGACCAGCAACATTTTGTTCTGTTATTACATGTAGTTGCTGAGTTGGAGACCACTGGTCAGCACCTAACAACAGCATCAGTGTTTAAAATGTGCCCAGACAACAGGTCTTCATGAACCTATCTCAGAGAATCTCACATGCAGAAGGGGACGTTATGCAGAAATATTCAGTGAAAATTTGCTGATCAGAGTAGAACACTGGGGATGGACCAAATGTGTCCATCTTTGGGATATAACTGAAAATGGCAGTCTATACATAGCATGAATACTACGCCACAGCGAAGGAGGGTGAGATACATCTATTTTTATTGGCTAGATTTCCAAGCTATAGTGTTGGGTAAAAAGAAATTCAAATTCAAAAATGGCACATACTGAATAGTACTTCCTATGTAGCAAAATAAGGAGCTCTTGTTACAAATTGGGTTGCCAACCTCAAGGTCAGCAGTTCAAAACTACCAGTTGCTCTATGGGAGAAAGATGAGGTGTTCTGCTCCCATAAAGATTTATAGCCTCAGAAACCCTGTACAGGGTTGCTGTGAGTCAGAACTGACTCCATGGCACACCACCACCACCATGTTACAAAATATGTCAAAGTCATGCTACAAAGTAATATTCTATATTTTCCACAGGTACATATTTGTATGCATAAGCACAGAGAGACAGGATTGAAAGACTCCAGCCAAAAATATTAACAGCAGATCCATCTAGGTCAAAGGGAATGAAGTTGAAGAGAAGGTGATCAAAGAGGAGCTTTAGCCTTATCTCTAATGTTGTAAGGTTTTTATTTAAAAGGAGAATACATTTGTGCAGGATTCCCATAATTAAAAGTGAATTGCTTAAAAAGTAGAAAGAAGTAGAAATCATATGATCTAGAATGTAGTAAGTTATAATGTTTCAAAATATCTGCTTCTTTTTTCTGAAGAAGATATGATGTCCTTGTCCCACCAGCATCGGGTTTGGCCATGTGACTTACTCTGGACAATGAAAGGTAAACGGAAGTGGTAACAGTAGAAAGCTTGGAGGACTTCCGGCTCTTGGTTCATCATATTCGTGTTCCTTCTGCCATGAGATCAGAATAGTTCAGATAGAGGTGCAGCATTGGCCTGGGTCCTGGAATAGATAGATGTGGATGGAGCAGAGCTGCAGCTGACCCAGGAGAAGTCCATGATGTGAGCAAGAAGTGGAGCTTTACTGTCTGAAGCCCTGAGTCTGTGGCGCTATCTGTCACTGTGGCAGAGCATAACCTACTGTAACCCAGAAATAAGAGGCGAGAGCTAGCAATCATTCTAGAGCAGAAGGCACAGGAGAGCGGGCCTGGAGGGAGATAAAGCTTGGGGTCAGAAAGGTGAAGGATTCCTGGCTAAGGGTGAACAATAGCCAAAGGAGAAGTGAGCTGCACAGTCAAATTTTGCCAGTTTTTCAATTTTGCCCTGGGACCTTGACTTTAATGGCCTACTGACCAAAGACAGCCAGCAAGGTCTCCTTTATCAGATGACACCTGCCCTGAACTAATTGACAAACCTTTCCAGAGAAGTGAGCTGCAAAGACAAATGTTGCCAGGTTTTTTTTTCCAGTTTGCCCTAGGACCTTGTCTTTAATGTTCTACTGACCAGAGATAGTAATCTAGGTCTCCTTTGTCAGATGGCACTTGCCCTAAGCTAACTGGTAGACCTTTCCAGAAAAGACTCTGAGCTTAAAGGTGTATACTTCCCCCGGTGTTACCTGGGCATCTCGGCTGTGTATTCCCAGTCAAAGGGGGCCTATGGTTCATTCCAAAGTCATTCAGATGAAGAGAAGGAAACCAGCAATACTGGGCTTTCTCAACCTGATCCAAATTATACAATGGCTGCATCTAGGTGGATGGGAAGGCTCAAACAAGATCATCTGGCTCAATAGTGTGCACATTTTAACTTTCAGTGGTGACGTGGTGACAGGGAGATGAGCCACCATTCTGTACTAATGGGCCAGGGGCATGACAGTGTGGAGTGGTGTCACACAGACCAGAGCTGCAGTGCTTGCTCAACTAGGTGAACTTGGGCTGAGCTACTTAATCAAGTTGACCTTGAACTTGTCTGGGAGGGGACAGGTAACAAGCACTCATTCTTCTCTCTGGATTTCAGTTTCCTCATCGGAAAAACAAGTTAAAGAATCCCCGTTGCTATGGATTTAATTGTGTCCCTTAGAAGACACGCTGAAGGGGATTGCAATCATTGTAATGAAACAAAGCATGCCATTTGTTGAATGTGAAACTGATGATCTGCTTTGTGAACCTTCACTCAGCTCACAATAAAACGTTGTTGTTGTCGTTTAAAAGAAGGTGTGTTGAGATTTTAACTCCTGTCTCTGTGAACATGTGGTGGGTAGTGGTGGTGATGTGCCATGGAGTCGTGTACATGTAGTTGCTTGGAAACCGGATGTTTGAAGATATTATCAGTTCACAAGAGGTCATTTAAGAGCAGGGTGAGTGGCATTTTATTAAAAAGGAGGACAGTCCTGGTGACAAAGCCATGTGATGATGAGACAGAAACAAGTACGAGTCAAGGGCTGCCAAAGGCAGCAGAAGAGAGGGATGGAGTTGTTCTCTCTTAGACTCTTCAGGAGGGAGTCAACATAGCCAATATCCTGAGTCAGAATTCCTAGCCTCCAGAACTGTGAGGCAACGTCTGCTCCTTAAAGCCACTCACTTTGTGGTATTTTACACGGCCACCCTGGGAAACAAAGACACTTATTTTGAAGGATTCATGTGAGGAATACATGAGGTGGCATATTCAGAAGACTCCAATATAGCTAGTGCCTCGAACTCATTGAACATTCATTCCTGTTCCCATCCCTTTGCCCTTCCCTAAGCCTCAGGAATGGGCTTTAGGAAGGCTAGCGACAAAGCAATTGGGTAGAGGAATGGAACATTTGATCCGGAAATCAATACAAGCAACTGTTTGAGGGAGAAAATTCCTTACGTCTTTCCCAGAGCCTGTAGAAGGAAGCATTTCCTCCTCCACTCTCACGCCAAGCACCAGGTGGAGTTGGCTCCACCAGCCACAGCAAGGATGGCACAGGACGTGGCCTGGTTGGTCAGAGTAGTCCATTCCCTTGGTTGTGGCTGCTGGATACCCCACTCTGGAAAGCCATTGAATTGTGGTGGGAATTTTTCCTTGGACCAACAAGAATGCAGGCAGATGTGAGCATGGAGTTTCTCAGGGCTACCATATTGGAAAATGTAGGCAAAATTAACAAAGAGGAGAATAGAAGAGAGAAAGAAAGAAGGCAACTAGTGGCACTGTTTGAGTTCCTGGATCAAACCACGCCTGATTTATCCCTGGGATCGAGACTTATGTAAGCCAGTGAATTCTCTCTCTAGTTTAGGCTCATGGGAACAGGTTCTAAGTCTTGAATAGAAATAGCTCTCATTAGTGCTTCTCCTGTCCCTTTGACCCTTTCCTGATTCTCCACTCTGGACACGATCCAGACTTTGTAGAGCTCTGATTCAGGACTCAGTTTCCCTCCCAACTCTTTCCTCAAATTCCCACAACTTGGCTTTTAGGTCCTTGATTGGAAGCCCAATTTTGACCCCAGAGTCTCCAGAGCTTCCTCAGTCAGGCAGCTCCACCTTATCTTCATTTGCCACAAAGTGCCAACCATCATGGACCATCTATCCAAGCTGATTTAACTTGTCCCATTCAAGAAGTCAAGACTCAGCCTGCGGATCAGCAGAGGGACTACCATTCATCCAGAGGACGAGGCTGAACCCAGTTTCTCCATCACCACCACTCACCCACCCCATCCCCCATTCTAGAATATAAGAACTCCAACCTGTGAGCCAGATTGCAACATTCCATAATATTACACTGGTACCCCTGTATCATTTCTTGGTCTAGCCAACCAGGGTACTCCAAACAGACTGGAATAAGTGACATAAAATTCACAGATTCTCTTCAGAAGTTTGAACTCAACCCCAAGGAGACTGTAAGTAACCCTTACATGTTGATCCATGCTCACAAGTGGCTGTTGAAGACGATCAGTTCCCAATTTTCCTACAGTAAACATAGACAAGAGAGCCCTCTCCTGAAAACCTATTCCCTTCAGACATTCGAAGCCTGTATTATATGAATATAGAATCAAGAGCAGAGAGGAGGTGAAGTTACTTAAATCAGCAACAGAGAACCCCATGGCTCCCAGCAGAAAAGACAGGTGGTTACAAGCCCTTTATAAAGTTGACCACCACATTCAAAATCCTTGTGGAGCAGGAGAAGTAAAAGAAGCCCATTTGGGAACTGCTGAGCACTCCATGAAAGCCATCTTCCATGTGATGCCAGGTCACTGGAACGCCCATGTCCTCCAGTCTCTTCTTGTACAAGAGTGAGTCGTCCCGGAGAATGTCATACTCGCAGCTCACGATGCAAGCTTCCGGGACCTGAGCTATGACATCATCTTCTACTAACAGTGGTGTGACTATTCCCTCCATAGCTAGGCTTATTTCCAAGTGGGCCTCCTCATTCAGGGGTCCTTGGGGCACCTGTCTGTAACCTTGTTGCTTGAACCTCTCTGGGATATTTTCTGGGCCCAACCACTTTTTATACTTTTCCTTTAATTCAATAGGCAGATAGTTGCCTTTCAACATTGTACTTTCCCAGGAGGGATGGATATTTAGGTATTGACACCAGCAGTATATGGCAAAGGACAAAGAGAGCAGCGGCACATTCTTGTTCTGATGATAAGAAGGGAGATCTAAGTCCAGGCCTTGCAAAGTGGCATAGATTAGAATCTGAGCACGGATCTTGGGGAGATCTTGTCTGTTCCTGAGTTCTTGACAAATCAAAGCTGCTATTCCTCCTCCTATGCTGTCACCGCAGACCACAACCCGGGCTGGATCCACTCCGTAGGCATTCAGAGACTTCAGGAAATGGATCGTGGCCACCAAGTTGTCTGTTTTTGCCACTGGATTCTTATGTTTGGGCATCATGCGGTATCTACAGAGGAATAAAGGAACACAGTTTATACCTGATACTCCAACAGAGCCAAAAATCTGCATCTGACATCTTTTAGAAGTCTCTGGGTTAAGTACACTGTTAAGTGTATTGTTAAGCTACTAAATGAGAATTCGGTAGTTCAGAACCACCCAGATAATGGTGCCTCTGTTACAGTCCTGGTGATCTGCTTTCAAAAGACCACAAGAATGAAAAAAAAAAAAAAAACCACCCCACAAGAACATAAACCTTACAGAGCAGTTCTACTTAGACACACATGCACATGGGATTGCCATGAGTCAGAATCTGGTTTGGTCATTGTTTTTCAAGCATCTTTTAGCCTGGTCTTTTCTAACACTTTCTTTTTCTGAAACCTGATCAAGTGAAATTTGTTGTCGTTAGGTGCCATCAAGTTGGCACTGACTCATAGCGACCCTGTGTACCACAGAACGAAACACTGGCCGGTTCTCCACCAACTTCACAATTATTGTTAAGCCTGAGCTTACTGTTGCCACTACTGTGCTAATCCATCTCGTTGGGGGGTCTTCCACTTTTTCTCTGATCTTCCACTTTGCCAAATATGATGTCCTTCTCCAGGGACTGGTCCCTCCTGACAATGTGTCCAAAGTATGAGAGATGAAGTCTGGCCATCCTGGCTTCCAAGGAGAACTCTGGCAGCACTTTTTCCAATTCAGATCTGTTTGTCCATTTGGCAGCTCATGGCACTTTTAGTATTCTCCTCCAACACAGTAACTCAAATGTATCAATTATTCTACAATCTTCTTTATCCACCATTCAATTTTCACATGCATATGAGGTTGTTGAAAATACCGTGGCTTGTGTCAGGCACACATTAGCCCTCAAACTGACATCTTTGCTCTTCAACATTTTCAAAAGGTCTTGTACAACAGATTTTCCCAATGCAATTCATTGTTTGAGTTCTTGACTGCTGCTTCCATGCGTGCTGATGGTGGATCCCAGCAAAATAAAGTTTTTAACTACTTCAATCTTTTCTCCATTCATATAAATGCTGTTTATTGGTCCAGTGTGAGGATTTTTGTTTTCTTTACATTGAGATGCAACGCACAATGCAGGCTGTGCTCTTTGATCTTCATCAGTAAATGTTTTAAGTCCTCTTCGCTTTCAGCAAATGAGGTTGTATCATCCGCATATCGCAGGTTGTTAATGAGTCTTCCTCCAATCCTGATGCCACATTTTTCTTCATAGAACCCAGCTTCTTGAATTATGTGCTCAGTATGCAGACTGAATAAGTATGGTGGAAGAATACAACCCTGGCACACATCTTTCTTAATTTTAAACCATTCGGTGTTTCCTTGTTATGTTGGAGCAACTGACTCTTGGTCTATGTACAGGTTCTTCATAAGCATGATTAAGTGTTCCACAATGTTGTCCATAGCTTGTCATGGTCCACACAATCAAAAGCCTTTGAATAGTCAATAAAGTACAGGTAAATATCTTCCTGGCATTCTCTGCTTTCAGCCAAGATCCATCTGACGTCAGTGATGATATCCCTCATTCCACATCCTCTTCTGAATCCAGCTTGAACCTCAGGAAGTTTTCTATCAATGTATGTTTGCAGCCATTTAGGATTATCTTTAGCAAGCTTTTACTTGCATGAGATATTAATGATATCATCCGATGATTCCTGCATTCCGTTGGGGCACCTGTCTGAAATGGACACAAATATGGGTCTCTTCCAGTCAGTTGACCAGGTAGTTAGTTATCTTTCAAATTTCTTGGCATAGATAGGTGAGTGCCTCCAGTGCTGCATCAGTTTGTTGGAAGACTTCATCAATTCCTGGAACTTTGTTCTTTGGCCATGCCTTCAATACACCTTGGACTTCTTCCTTTAGTATCATTGGCTCTTGGTCATATGCTACCTCTTGGTTGAACAACATTGTGGGTTAATGTGCTGGTCTGCAAAGCCAGTTTGAACTGCAAGGTTTGTGGTTCAAACTCACCAGCTGCTCTTCGGAAACCTTATACAGGGTGGATATGGGTTGGAACCAACTCAATGGCACTTAACAACAACAGTGATTCTGTGTATTCATTCTATCTTTTTTTGTTGCTTTCTGCATCATTCAATATTTTGCCCATAGAATCCTTCAATATTGCAAGTCAAGGTTTGAATTTTTTCTTCAGTTCCCTCAGTTTGAAAGAAGCTGAGCATGTTCTTCTCTTTTGGTTTTCTAACTTCAGGTATTTGCACATTTCCTTATAATAGTTGATGCTTTGTCTTCTCGAGCTGACCTTTGAAACTTTCTGTTCAGCTCTTTTACCTCTTTATTTCTTCCATTTGCTTTAGCATCTGTACACTGAAGATCAAGTTTCAGAATCTCTTCTGATATCCATTTTGGTCTTTTACTTCTTTCTGTCATCTTAACGACCTTTCATTTTCTTCCTGTATGATGTTCTTGATGTCATCCCACAACTCTTCTGGTCTTTCATCTCTAGTGTCTAATGCATCAAATCTGTTCTTGAGATGATCTCTAAAATCAGGTGGGATATGTTCAAGGTCATATTTTGGCTCTCATGGACTTGTTTTCATTTTCTTCAGCTTCAACCTGAACTTGTACATGAACAATTGATAGTCTGTTCCACAATCTGTCCCTGGCCTTGTTTTGGTTCATGATGTGGAGCTTTTCCACCGTCTCATTCCACTTTGTAGTCAATTTGATTTCTGTGTATTCCATCTGGTGAGGTCCATTTGCGTAGTCGTCTTTTATGTTGTTTTAAAAAGGTGTTTGCGATGAAGTCATTGGTCTTGCAAAATTTCATCATGCGATCTCCAGCATCATTTCTGTCACCAAGGCCATATCTTCCTTCTTCTTTGTTTCTAACCTTTGCATTCTAATTGCCAGTAATCATCAATACATCTTGATTGCATGTTTGATCAATATCAGACAGAAGACATTGGTAGAATACTTCAATTTCATCATCACTGGCTTTAGTGGTTGGTGTGTAAATTTGAATAGTAGTGGAATTAGGTCTTCTTTGTAGACATATGTGTATTATCCTATCATAGACAGCATTGTACTTCAAGATAGATATTGATATGTTGTTTTCGATTGTGACTATAATGCCATTCCTTTTCAATTTGTCATTCCCAGCATACTTAAGTCATGTGATTTTCAGATTCAAAATGGCCAGTACCAGCCCATTTCAGCTCACTAATGCCTAGGATATCAATGCTTATGAGTACCATTTCATTTTTTACGATTTCCAGGTTTCCTAGATTCATACTTTGTGTGTTCCATGTTCTGATTATTAACAGATGTTTGAAGCTCTTTCTCTTCATTTTGAGTTGTACCCCATCAACAAATGAAGGTCCCAAGAGCATTACTCCATTCGCATCATCATAGTCAACTCTACTTTAAGGAGGCAGCTCTTCCCCAGTAGTATTTTGATGCCTTCCAACCTGAAGAGCTCATCTTCTGGCACTATATCTGACAATATTCTGGTGTTCTTCATCATTTTTCAATATTCAGTATTCTGATGCTGACATTGTTCCACTGCTTTTTGTAAGGTTTTCAGTGACTAAAAATTAAGAAGTAGTCTGTCTCTCCTTCCTCCTAGTCTGTATCATCTGAAATCTCAACAGAAACCTGTCCACTGTGGGTGATCCTGCTGGTACTTAAAATACCAGTGGCATAACTTCCAGAATCACAGCAACACACAAGCCACCCCAGTATGATAAACTGACAAATGAGTGGTGGCAAGTGAAGTTAGATGAGGCTGAAATGAGATGCTAAACATAAAACCCTCAGTGCCTAGCACACAGGAGCAGCTCAGGAAGTAATTCTCTAGATGCCCTCATTTTGAGTTGTGTCCCATCAGCAAATGAAGGTCCCATGAGCTTTTTTCCCATGGGCTTTACTCCATTCACATCATCATGGTCAGCTCTACTTTGAGGAGGCAGCTCTCCCCCAGTCACATTTTGAGTACCTTCCAACATAAGGGGCTCATTTTCCGGCACTATATCTGACAGTGTTTCTCTGCTATTCATAAGGTTTTCAGTGACAAATATTTGGAAGTAGTTCATCACTCTTTCTTCCTAGTCTGTCTTCATCTGGAAGCTCATCTGAAACCTGTCCACTATGGATGACCCTGCTGGTATTTAAAATACTGGTGGCGTAGTTTTCAGAATCACAGTAACTCACAAGCCACCACAGTACAACAAACTGTCAGACAAATAATTGCCGTTTGGTTTTAAGTGCAAACTGTCACTTTAAATTTCGAGATGTGTGCACATGCGTAGTAGAAACATCCAGCAGTGGGGTGGGGTGTCCATTCACTCCGGCACCACCTGGAGGTGTGCAGACAGTGAGAGACCAATGAACAGAAACCAAAAAAGAATGTCCACACCTGTTCCTCTATGGTTCTGTCAGGTGTTCCTGGCTATTCTGATCCTTCCCCTGCCTGGTTGATGGGGCACAACGCAAAATGAAGAAAAACAGCTGTAAACATCCATTGAAAATCAGAACATGGAATGTACGAAGTATGAATCTGAGAAAATTGGAAGCTGTCAAAAATGAAGTGGAACACATAAATATCAATATCTTAGGCATTAGTGAACTGAAATGGGCTGGTATTGGCCATTTTGAATCTGAATGACAAATTGAAGAGGAATGGTGTTGCATTTACTATCAAAAAGAACATATCCAGATCAGTCATGAGGTACAATGCTGTCTGTGATAGGATAATATCCATGTGCCTACAGAGAAGCCCAGTTAATACCACTATTATTCAAGTTTACACACCAACCACTAAAGACAGTGAGGATGAAATAGAAGAATTCTACCAACTTCTTCAATCTGAAATTGATTAAACATGCAATCAAGATGTATTGATCATTACTGGTGTCTAGAATGCAAAGGTTGGGAGCAAAGAGGAAGGATCAGTAGTTGAAAAATACAGCCTTGGTGATAGAAATGATGCTGGAGATCTCATGATAGAATTCTGCAAAACCAATGATTTGTTCA